GATAGCAACTGAGTTGATAGCAAATGAGTTTGATAGCAAGTGAGTTGATAGAAAGTGAGGGGATAGCAAGTGAGGCTGATAGCAAGTGAGTTGATAGCAAGTGAGTTGATAGCAAATGATCGTGCTCCGAAATCTTCAATCAAAATACAATTCAAAATACAATAAACAAGAATGATTTAAATGAAAAATAATCTTTTTACCAAATACAAGGAAAATTGGGAATTTTATTGAAACAAAGTTCGAAAACATCTGTAGTAACAGTTTAATTATTTACTGAAAATAGTTCAAACTCTCAAATATATACTCATTTAACTAAAATAATGTACTAGTTGAGGTAGAGAAATATATACTCATTTAACTAATATAATGTACTAGTTGAGGTAGAGAAATATATACTCATTTAACTAATATAATGTACTAGTTGAGGTAGAGAAATATATACTCATTTAACTAATATAATGTACTAGTTGAGGTAGAGAAATATATACTCATTTAACTAATATAATGTACTAGTTGAGGTAGAGAAATATATACTCATTTAACTAATATAATGTACTAGTTGAGGTAGAGAAATATATACTCATTTAACTAATATAATGTACTAGTTGAGGTAGAGAAATATATACTCATTTAACTAATATAATGTACTAGTTGAGGTAGAGAAATATATACTCATTTAACTAATATAATGTACTAGTTGAGGTAGAGAAATATATACTCATTTAACTAATATAATGTACTAGTTGAGGTAGAGAAATATATACTCATTTAACTAATATAATGTACTAGTTGAGGTAGAGAAATATATACTCATTTAACTAATATAATGTACTAGTTGAGGTAGAGAAATATATACTCATTTAACTAATATAATGTACTAGTTGAGGTAGAGAAATATATACTCATTTAACTAATATAATGTACTAGTTGAGGTAGAGAAATATATACTCATTTAACTANTTCTAAAAAAAGGGATAAAAGTTAAATTGACGAAATATTTGGAAAATAACTGTAAAATTAAAGGAAAGGGATCAGGGAGAATACAAGTACTTTAAAGCTGAAAATATCATTAATAATTTGAGCCAACAAGTTGGTATAAAAATGTAATTGGTAGGTTAGGGCGTACATTTTGAGAGATAAATGAAAATAAGGCTGCTATCAAGAATTGGGGGTTTAAAATAAGAAAATAAACATTATGCCAGTAAGTGAAACAGAGTAGGATTGATTATATATTGTTCGAACAGTCATACACTAAGATATAGTTGGTTTTCAAGGACTGTAGAAGAGAAGGATAGATTATTCGTGATTGTTGGTTTTCAAGGACTATAGAATAGAAGGATAGATTATTCGTGATTGTTGGTTTTCAAGGACTATAGAAGAGAAGGATAGATTACTTGTGATTGTTGGTTTTCAAGGGCTATATAAGAGAAGGATAAATTATTCATGATTGTTGGTTTTCAAGGACTATTGAAGAGAAGGATAGATTATTCATGATTGTTGGTTTTCAAGGACTATTGAAGAGAAGGATAGATTATTCATGATTGCTGGTTTTCGAGGACTATAGAAGAGAAGGATAGATTATTTGTGATTGTTGGTTTTCAAGGACTATAGAAGAGAAGGATATATTATTCATGATTGTTGATTTTCAAGGACTATAGAATAGAAGGATAGATTATTCATGATTGTTGGTTTTCAAGGACTATAGAAGAGAAGGATAGATTATTTGTGATTGTTGGTTTTCAAGGACTATAGAAGAGAAGGATAGATTATTTGTGATTGTTGTTAGTTTTCAAGGACTTTATAAGAGAAGGATAGTTTATTTGTGATTGTTGGTTTTAAAGGACAATAAAAGAGAAGGATAGATTATTCGTAATAGTTGGTTTTCAAGAACTATAGAAGAGAAGGATGGACTATTTATAATAGATGGTGATCAGGATGGATTCTGTATTGCAGTTCTCTATAGTGATATATTACGATAAATGTATTTGGTTATCAAGGACTATGGAAGATAAGGATAAATTATTAATTATTCTTAAATTATACAGGAGGAATGGCTTTCAAGATCTTTAGAATAGAAGGATTAACAATTTTTTATTTCTAGTTTTGAATTTTACAAATTGGATTCAGTTGATGCACAAAAATTCTGATTTCCTTTATCTTCTTCTCTTCTAACTTCTTCCGTTTTTCCTTCTGTTAATTGTCCCTGATTCTGATAATTTTGAAAAAAAAGATGAAAATTTGTTGAAACCAGTATTTTTTGGGACACTCTGCTCATTTCAATTATTTGAGTGAATTCTGTTTTGCAGTATTGTTGAATCTTCAGTTTTGACAATACCACCATTCTTTAAGGACTGATGAGGATATGAAATATGTCGAAATTAATTTCCAAACCTGAGTTTTTCTACCTGTGAGAGTGAAACCCTTTTTTTTGCCAGTTTGGACAATTTACCTTTAGTTTTCTTTTTTCCCAACAGGGAATGTCTGACCTTGCACACAGTTGATCAGGTTCAAGGTGAAATAAAAAGGGTTTGAGTTTTGTGTCCAAATCCTATTTCAGCCTAATGGTCTTAAAGATGGATCTGACAACATTCACCCACTAGAAATCAATTACAAATGTTGTTTGTGACAAATAGGAGTTGGAAAGGAATTGAGTCTTTGCCACAAACTCTGCTTTTCTAAACCCTATATCTTTGGATTCCAATGTCGTAGACCTTAGATATTTCAAACTATGAATTCTGTTAGATAAATTAAAATAAGTTTGAAATATCAAAGATGTACTACATTGGGTTCCAAAGATAAAGGGATTTTAAATTGAGAGTTTGTGACAAAGACTCAATTCCTTTGGAAAAAGTAGGAAGAGGGTATCGAGGGACTCCCCTAAGAAGGGAATCCTGTTTTTCTCCTGGATTTATACTCTTTCCGAGTTCTGTGGCATTTTGGGGTTACCCATATTGGGTTTGCACAGCATTACAAAATGCGAATTTGTTGGATTTGTGGCTCAGAACGTGCGACTTTCGACGGTAGTCCCTTCTTTATAGTTGCCTGAGTATCGCACCTGGTAGAGTAAAAAACGGCATTATATTGTATGGTCACCAACCTCTCAGGATTCTTCTTTCTATGTTTTTATTTTCCTTGTTTCTAGTGAGATTTTTTGTGAACAGCGCTCCCCAGCTGAATCCTCTATTTGGCTATTTAGAGTGGAGCACTGAATTTTTTTGACCTAACCAAGCTGATGCCGGCCCGCAACTGAAAAGAAAAGAAAATGAAATATATTTTTTCTTTTCTGTAATTAGAAATGTTATTTAAGAATTGAAAACTATTTAATCCTTCTTTATTTTTAAAGAAACAGGACAGTACTCTGTAATCAAGTTAAAAAAAATATTTTTAACTTTATAATTTCTTTATTTTATTTTTGACAATGTTGTTTCAAAACAAGGAATGACTGATTATTATCTTTATATCATAATAAAAAATTATGCATATTTTCCTTTTTATTCATGACGTAAAGTTTTAGAACTAAAAAGTACTTTTATAAAAGTTTACATTCTTATTATAAAGTATATTCTGTGTCTTCCTAATAATTGTTGGTTAGCATTATATAGTTTTTTCAAAAGTTGAAAAAATATACAATTGTTTAAAATTTTATTTCATGGTTTTTATGTTTGATTCTCCACGTGAAAACTTTGATTCAGCAATTAATAATTAATTTCTCAGCTTTAATCGAAACTAAAGTCTCCTGGACCTAATTTAATTAACTACTAGAGTGGTCGCTGAATAACCTACCGCCGCTGCGGGTTCAAACTCAAACTCATTGATTGAAGACCTCCAGAATCTTTAACTTTGAATCTGTAATTCAGAATTTGAACCCACGGTAGATAGTTCAGCGACCTCTACACTGAGCTCTAGTTAAATCACTTCTCTTAAACTTGAACCGACACACATAGCTCAAAGAAGTGGTTCTGCATGAGTCAACTATGTTTTGCTGTTCATTAGTTTTTGTCCCTGGAAGGTTGGATAGATAAATATTCTCAATTAAGATAAAAATTAGAATATAAAGAGGATTAATTAGGCTTCAGTCATTGAAAGAGTAATTAATCCAACTGTGCACGTGGCATGAAAAATCTGGAACTTCAAATAAGCTCGATATCCTAACATCCGGGAATACAAACTCCGGAAATACAAACTCCGGAAATAGAAAATCCGGAACTTCAAACTTCTAAAATTCAAATTCCGGAAATAAACGCTCCAGAAATACAAACTCGAAGGAAATAAAAACGTCGGAAAATTCAAACTCCAGAAATGCAAACAACAGAAATACAAACTCAGGAAATACAAACGTCTGAAATTCAAACTCCGTAAATACAAACAACAGAAATACAAACTCCAAAAATATACTAACCAGAAATACATACTTCAAAAATGTAAACTCCAGAAATCCAAACTCCGGATATACAAAATCCGGATATACAAACTCCGTAAAAACACACTCTATCATCAATACAAACTTCTGAAATTCAAACTCCGGAAATACAAACTTCTGGAATTCAAACTCCGGAAATACATGCTACATAAATACACTTTTCAGAAATACACGGTCCTGAAATAAAAACTCCGGAAATACCAACTTATATCTAAAAATTCAAAATGAAATTCAAATAAAATTTCTCAATTTGAATAAAGGGAATCTCCAACTTTTCCAAATAAACTTCTTTCCCAGATCTTGAAAAAATGCATCCCTTCAAAGTTTTGAAGTGAGCTTTGACCTTTGTTATTCCCAAAATTAATCACATTTTGTGACCATAAACTGGGTTTTTAGATCTGAAACTTGTTTCCAGATTCACTTGATCGATGAAGTGCAATTAACAAAATATTTGAAAGGTTTTTTTTCTTTCGGTTCAGTTGTGTCCTTGCCATGGAGGTGACTTAATTCAAACAGAGCTGATACATATGTTCTAATTCTGCAATTCTGCAATTCTACAAGTAAATATTTGTATTTCTAGACTATTGTCCTGTATCCTCGACCCAACATGTTGACTTGCACTCTCAGAATCTGGTTGAGAGAGATAGGGTTTGCACTCTCATACGGAGCACTCATGCTCAAAACCTGGAGGTTAGTATACATTAAACCTGTAATAGTGGGTAGTAAACCTTTAACCTGTAATAGTGGGTAGTAAACCTTAAACCTGTAATAGTTGGTAGTAAACCTTAAGTAATAGTGGGTAGTAAACCTTAAACCTGTAATAGTTGGTAGTAAACCTTAACCTGTAATAGTGGGTAGTAAACCTTAAACCTGTAATAGTTGGTAGTAAACCTTAAGCCTGTAATATTGGGTAGTAAACATGAAACCTGTAAAAGTGAGTAGTAAACCTTAAACCTGTAATAGTTGGTAGTAAACCTTAAACCTCTAATAGTTGGTAGTAAACCTTGAACCTTTAATAGTGGGTAGTGAACCTGAAACCTGTAATAGTGGGTAGTAAGCCTTAAATCTGTAATAGTCGGTAGTAAACCTGAAACCTGTAATGGTGGGTAGTAATTCTTAAATATGTAATAGTCGGTAGTAAACCTTAAACCTGTAATAGTTGGTAGTAAACCTTAGACCTGTAATAGTTGGAAGTAAACCTTAAACCTGTAATAGTGGGTAGTGAACCTTAAATCTTAAACCTTAAACCTGTAATAGTTTGTAGCAAACATTAAAACTGTAAAATTCGGTAGTAAACCTGAAACTTATAATATGAACCTTGATTTTGTAAAATCCCTGCTATGGTTTTGACCAATGAATATCCAAAAGAAATAGCTTTAATCCAAAAGATATGAACAAATACTCGATCCTAAGATTTCCAATTCTGTATAATTTTGTTTAATCTCATAATAATAAAAAAGTGTAGATAAATATGGAATAGGCCAGAGCCTAGAGATGGGCATTGTTTTAGTCAACGAATGAAATTTTTGATAACGAATAACATTCACCGTGAACGATGGTGTCGTTTAGAAAAAAAAGTAGTTTTTCCTGAACGAACGATATTTGAATTACACACTTTTGTACAAACTAGCGTATATTTTACTGAACAACAGATTTTTAAAACTAACATATTCAATTTATTTGAACGATTGAAAACATAGTAATTGGTAGTTGACGAACAATAAACGAAAGAAATGGAAAAAAGGCAAACGTTTCCATCTCTAAGCCTGACAATAATCATTTTATTAATCTTATTGTATTACCAGGATCAGTGTGATATTCCGGGTTCGATCGGCTAAAGCTGTGAAGATTACTGACATGGATCTAATCAAGAGACTGGGGATTATTGTTGGTATATTCGTTCTTCTTCTTCTTATCCGAACTCTAGTTTCTCCACCAGAAGGTTAGTTTTCTTCTCTTGTATCTTCATATATAAGCTAGTAAATTAGTTAATCTTTTATATATATAATCTCCTAAACTGGTGGATTAGTTAATCTCTTTTATCCTTGTATCTTCATCTATAAGCTAGTAAATTAGTTCATCTTTTATATCCTCTCCTAAACTAGTGGATTAGTTAATCTCTTAAATCCTTGTATCCTCTCTTAAACTAGTCGATTAGTTAAATCTCCTATATCCTTGTATCCTCTCTTAAACTAGTGGTATAGTTAATCTCCTATATCCTTGTATTCTCTCTTAAACTAGTGGATTAGTTAATCTCCTATATCCTTGTATCCTCTCTTAAACTAGTGGTATAGTTAATCTCCTATATCCTTGTATTCTCTCTTAAACTAGTGGATTAGTTAATCTCTTGTATCCTTGTATCCTCTCTTAAACTAGTGGTATAGTTAATCTCCTATATCCTTGTATTCTCTCAAAACTAGTGGATTAGTTAATCTCCTATATCCATGTATCCTCTCTTAAACTGCTGGATTAATTAATTTCTTGTAACCTCTCCTAAACTAATGGATTAGTTAATCTCTTTTACCTTAACTACTTAATCTTCTGTTTTAGTCATAATTGGACGAACAGCTGACGATTTGAAGGCCTTTTTGTGTCAGTCGGATTGGTGGGACCATTCCTTCACTATACGTAAGTATAAATCTTAAATAAATTTAAGAATGCTAAATGTATTTGATCGGTTTATATTCTGTAACGAGAAGTTTAACTGTTTCTATTCTAGCTAACATGTGCTTAAATGGTAAATCCATTTTGTGGTGGATTTTAGCACTTAACCTTCTCTTGGTTCAATCATTTTCATATTTAATATGGAAAAGTTATGATTAAAATCTGTGTGTAAGGCTAGGATATATATATATATATATTTGTTTGTTGGTTAGTCTGTTTTTGTGTCCCATATACCTTAACCTACTGGGTCTAATTTTTTGGTTTCTCCATATGACCGGAGGAACCCAAAGAAAGGTTGCAATTCAAATTGCTTTTGAAATCCATCAAAGCGAAAAGAAAATCCGAAAAATTAAAACGCAACATTTAAAATTATGACCAGGAAACGGTTTTGAAGCGTCCAAGAGTCCAGTAAATATGAATATATGCAAATATATGTATATATAAATATATATATATGAGCATGTATATTTATAGCTGACATTTGGCAGCATTGGATTAGGAATAATCAAGTTGGCAGAGCCAAGAACTGTGCAGGGGTTATTAAACTGTATATATATATATATAGACAATGTCATTACATACATTATATCATTGCAATAAATAATCTTGATAAATATATTGCTATGTTTTGTTTCTGTTTGTACCCATCCAATAAACGTCAAAACGACTTAGCCGATTAGACCCGAAGGAATGGAGTTTTTGCCACAAACTCTGATTTTCTAATTCTTATATCTTTGCATTACAATGCCGTAGACCTTAAATATTTCAAACTTTTGATAATGTTAGATCAAATAGTCTAAGCTTGAAATATCAAAGTTCAGAAAATTAGAAAATTTGAGTCTATGGCAAAAAATCAATTCCTTTGATCCAAGGAAAAATTTATGGCAATCGAAATAGGAAATTTTTGCCTAGAAAAATGTGAATTTTAAAAAATCTTAAAAATCTTTAATATGAACAAAAAAATCCGCAAACTTTTTGTGTAACGATGTACAAAGAAAAAATGGCGGCCAGAAAAGCAACATTTCTTTAAAATTAAATGTAAAAATTGCTTTGATAGTGCTATCTCAAGCCACCTTTGATGTAATGTAAATTTCCATTTTGTTTTCTTACTCTCATCTTGAATAACTTACTTGAATATTCTTTTTTTTAAAGAAAATGAAAAGGATCTTGTCAAGGAAAAGATGAAAATTTCGTCTAGGACTTTGAGGTTTATAAGAGGCTTATGGAACAAATCTTATATTTATGCATTTATACATTTTTAAACTTTTAGTAAATTTTCTAAAATCAGACATTAATAAAAACAGACATTTTTAATAAAAATAGACATTTTTAATAAAAATAGACATTTTTAATAAAAATAGACATTTTTAATAAAAACAGACATTTTTAATAAAAACAGACATTTTAAAACTTTTATAGTAAATTTTCTAAAAAGAGACATTTAGAGAGCGGATCGTTCCCATCATTTGGAATCGATATATAGCTTATTTGAAAGCTAGGCTTGTGTCCTTGTGTGGCATTTAGAGCGGATCGTTCATCATTTGGGATCTATATTATATTAGGATTATACTTTTCTATGTGATATTTATATTGTATAAATTCTAATCTTCGTGCAATAAATATTTGATTTGATTTGATATATAGCTTGTTGGAAAGCAAGGCTTGTGTCCCTGCGTGGCATTAAGAACGCTGAATCAATAGCTTCGCTTGTGTCCCTGTGTAGCATTTAGAGCCTGGAGTAATATCTTGTTGGATAGCTACGCTTGTGTCCCTGTGTGGCATTTAGAGGGTTGGACCTAGATACATACGTTTAGAAAATATTGCTATGGAGTAGGTGTTTACTACATATACTAACCATTCAGATTCTCTTTTACTAGACACTAACTATATAGATTCTCTTGTAATTTAGATACTAACTATCCAGATACACTTGTACTAGATACTAACTCTCCAGATACTCTTGTACTATATATACTAATTATCCAGATACACTTGTACTAGATACTAACTATCCAGATACACTTGTACTAGATGCAAATTATCCAGATACATTTGTACTAGATACTAACTATCCAGATACTCTTGTATTAGATGTTAACTATATAGATATTCTTGTACTATACTAACTATCCAGATACCCTTGTACTAGATACTAACTATCCAGATACTCTTGTACTAGATACTAACTATCCAGATACACTTGTACTAGATACTAACTATCCAGATACACTTGTACTAGATACTAACTATCCAGATACACTTGTA